TGTCAGAGATGTCAACTGCAAACAAATTCAGTCAGATACACACTACACAACGTCTCCTGAACAAACAGAGGGCCTCGCTCCCAGACAAGGATGGAGGGTTGAGAAATTACAAGAGTGTCAAAACGTCGGTATTTTAAAATCTTGTTATCGTCTTCTGATTTCAAAAAATCTGGAAATCCCAACTGCTTTTGAAAAAGTGCAGACGAATGATTTTGGCGACATGGAATATGGAAAATATTATTTCTTAACAAATCACTACAAAAAGGCAGTACAGGCCTGAAGGGCCATGTGAGGAAAAGAAGGGGCTGGAACAGCGGCCCTGTAGCTAAGGGCATTACCGGATGGGCGCCAAAATTCATGCCTGAAATCCAGGAACCTACAGGAACCTTAGTGCATCAAATTCCAAACGATTCGAAGCTGGAAGACAGTGATAAGGTTATTAATATAATTCGCAAGCAACGCCTACTGCATTCTGTAAAATAGTTCCGTGGTAGTGACAAAAAGATATGTACATGTAGGAAATGCCTAATGAGGTCTTGATTTTGGAATGGTTTAGCAGGGCTTGCAAATCAGAGTATTGTAGGAAGTTCTTTATGTTGCTTGAAGTAACTCCGATCTAATTATAAAATGGAAGAAGGTGGAAGCGGGCATTACACATAGTCAGCAGTTAGAATGACTTGAAAGTTAAGAGATATTAGGTGAAGTATTTGGACCATAACAGCTGAATAAAACTGAGAAGCGTGGGGCACTGACGTGACCTTTACGGGGGGACCCTTTGGGATATTTACTCGAAAAGATCCTGTCGAGACTACGAGTGTGAGACGAGATGGTCGAACGATGCGACCCCAACTGCTGGAATAAGACCCCTATATAGACGAGGAGGGGGAGAGGGGGCGTAGTCTAGGCCCGTTGAATGTACCGATGTAACAGATGTTTTCCCAGATACCGGAAGTGGTTGTCCTCCCTAGACAAAGGATTATCTAGAATAAGGGGCAAAAGCTAATTACTGGGAAGCTGAAAATAGAAGGATCGGGGAAAAAAGAAAAACATTTATCATATAACGCCTCGTTTATCATAAATGCAGCCTTGCCACAAAACAGCTGCATTTATAGATAGTGACAATTTTATTTTTTGCTATTACTCATCCTAAATTAAAACAAAAAAAAAAATTTTGAATAAAGAGTCCGAAAATATTTTTCGACAAAATAAAAAAAACAGACAATTTTCATAACGAACAAGAACCTTCCAAATATTTCCTGAATTTGTTCACAATCCAGTCCAAAAGGAGCGGATTTTTGGCGATTGTTGGCAATAATCGTAGCTGAACAGCACTGCGAACATCTTTGACCGAAGATTGGAAAGATTCAAGTAGTAAAGCAACATGTAAGCGGCAACGATCAGAATCAGCAAAGTTCTTACTCAGATCAAAAGCAATTAGTTCGCTGATCTGTAATTCGATTCCTATCTTTTTTCATCAAGTCTGTAAGCTGCACTGCACATCTGACATTATATGGACGTAAGTTCTCATCTTATGGGCCAGTCCAAAAATAAAAAAAATTATCGCCAATTTTTTTAAAATTCCCAAAACCGTAAACGAACTTTTAAAGTGGGGGAGGGGGAGTCAGCATTTCACGATAAAATTATAAACTAGCTAAGTTAATAGAACATATAAGGTGTGATTACCACAACGACCAACGTTGGATTTGGCAA